CCCGCCACCGCTTTTGTGCAGTACCAGCCCCAACAGCTGCAGCCCGACCGCATGCAGTAAGGGCCCTGCCCGCGCCTTTGCCACCCAGGACAATCTTTTACAATGGAAGGATACGACTAGGACAACAAAAGCAACAAAAAAAAAACAATAAAAGAAACAAAAAGAAAAAAAATCACCCCGCCCCTTTATCCCCTTTACGTAGGTGCATATCAATACCTAAGCTATTTATAGTGTTAAGGGCGAACCCAAACCCTTGCAGTCTGACTGTGCTCATGAAAATGGACTTCTGGTAAGTTGTTTTTTTCAATCTGGACAGATACTGTCTTGAAGATGTTCTGAAAGTGACTGAAATGTTTCACAGGAAAACTACAGATTCTTGCACACATCGCAGTCTGCTTCCATCACCCGTGGTCGTCTTTCTGGCCCTACCCCGTCAGCCCTCCCCTCCTCACCAGACCTGCAATCCTCTTAATTACTGTTGAGGTACAGAGGTACTCGGAGAACACGGAGAAAAGCAATCTTATTTTTTGGTTGTACAAAAACTTTGTAATACTCAGAGATGCCTTACAGAAAAAAAAAACAAAAGAAAAAGAAAAACTATTTTTTAATATTTATTGCGATTTTATTCGCATGAGCTGTGAATTGCAGACAGAAGAATAGTAGTATCTGCCTTGTTTAATTCTCATTTTACTAAATTATTGTATGTAGGTAAAAGCTCTTAAGTAATTGCTGAATCACTCAACATGCAAAAGGGAATATTGGCTTGAAGGAGAGCAGAATATTCCTTTAGTCAACGCACTGTACTATTTTCTTATTGTAATTGTTACTCTGTTAAGATTATCTCAAATTTAGGTATATTTTTAAATGCAAAAAACCAACCAAGAATACCGAACATTTTGTCTACTTTGGTAGATCTTTTGTTACAATGCTGCAACCTATGGAGACATTTACAGTATTTATGTAAAAGAGATTTGGGGCTGTTGGCCAGCAAAGCTTAGGAGAATTATCATGAGTGGAGCAAAAGAGAAAAAGGTGTTATGTCATTGAACAAATGGGTAAACATAACCTTTTTATGCCTATAATCCAACAGCCAAATAAAGGAAGAGAACAGACGCTGTAAGTTAAGTGCATTTCTACAAAGAACAGCAATAAACTATTTTAACTTTTAAAATTATTCGATACTGTATGGTACCATGTTTGCTTGGCTGGAGTCCATTAGGGAGTACTTTCAAATTGACCTGATCTGGCTACGCTGGGCCTTCGCCTGCGAGCATGCCAGGGTGGGTTGGGAGCATGTGTCCTGCGGCGCAGCGGAACCTGGCAAGAGCCCCTGCTCGCATCCTGACCCAGCATTGCATCACACAGGCATTGCATGGGCACAGCCGTCCCTTGCGGCGTGTCCCGTGCACCGTTGCTCACTCTGCACGTCCCAAGTCACCTGTAGCTCTTGGCACCTCGGGGTTTTTGAGCTCTTGGAACGGAGCTGTGCGGTCCCCAGTGCTTGTGCCCAGCACTGGGCGCTTGCTCACACCCATCCGGTGTGGAGCAGAGGGTGTAAAGTGCTGCCATCCTGGTGCAGCTCCAGTGGAAACCAGGACAGCTGAGATCAGATCTTACCCCAGAATCCTCAGGATATCACTTTCCTTCTGTTATTTGCTTAGAATAAGTGTTTTTTCCTAAATGGAATCCATCCAAAAGTGAGTGGTCTGCCAAAGCCCTGTCCCAGTTCAGGGATCTCTGATCCGGCCGGGCATGGGCAAGCTGTGGGCAGTGGTGAGGCTCTGGCAGGGTGCCTGCACCCCTGAGCTTCCTTTGCATTACTCAGCCACATTCGACTTTCCCTCACCAACTTGCTTTAGAGATTTGGTTCTCAGATTTTGACCCATTACAAACTGTGAATATTGGCTTTTAAAAGTAAATAAAATTACTCTATTTGAATGTGCTAGTTATCTAGTTCATCTCTGTAAAGGTTACAGCAGCACTGGTGCCAGGAAGTCCCTGCATCTTTGGCACCAGTGTATATAGCTGTTCAGAAGGTGATGACACCTAAAGCCATCCTGGGGGAAGAGGGTGCTGTAGGATGGAAGCAGAGCCAGTTCAGCACTGTGTCTGATCAACTGCCCTGCTGCACACAGTGGGCACGTCTAACGTCATCAGTAGACCTCAGAGTAAACAGCCCATCTCAATGAATGGAAACAGCTCATTCCTCCCTTGCTTATATTGCGTGAGAATGCAGATCCTGGTGGGGCTCTTCGTCCTGTCCAGGGTTTTGCTCACAACCATGTGGGTGACATTTATTTCCTTTTTAAGTAATTAGTTTCTGAATACGGCTGTGGGGCTGCCAAAGGAGTAAGAGCGGAGCACTGCATCCAGCACAGCATTGGCGAGGAGCGCAGCCTGGCCCGAGAAACCTGCCTTTGAAGTACTATCGGGGGGCGGAGATTATTCAGCAATTCTTCTTTCTCCCTGTCATGAGTCTTTCTGAGGAGGAGGAGGGAGGGGAGGATTTCGGAGGCGGGTGAGGATGCTGGGAGCCGCGTTGCGGTGCCCGTCCTCAGGCAGCACTCCTGCCTGGCCCCAGCACTGCTGACCGTCAGCTTTTGTCTTCACTGAGGACCTGTGTCTCTCCAGGTCAATAGGAAGACCGAGGCCTCCAAAGATTAACTTGTAATTGAAAAAAAAAAATATGTGTCCGGTACATTTTAAAGTGAAAAGAGTGATGATTTTCCATTTAGCTGACTCTAATTTCCTGAAAGGTGGCCAAAACTGCCAGGAAGCGAGGGCGCAGACAGCGCTGAACAGCAGCACGCCTCCTTCGCCCGGCACCCAGCCCGCCACTGTCGAATGCCATTCCTGGATCCCGCTCAGTTTTGCTCTGGGCTCATTTTGAGAAACAACCACATCAAAACAACAGCCCAACCTGCCGCCTTCCTGTTTGCAAAAACCCCACTGTGAAATTGTGACCGGGCAGGATAATAATGAAATCCGCCGTCCAGCTTCCCGGGTGGAAGTGGGGTTGCAATGGCAGGTGGCAAGGGAAGCCTGCAGCCCTCCAAAAAAGGAGCCCAAGCGCTTCCTTGGCCCGGTGCTAGGCTGGGAAAGTGGGAAGAGCCTGACGGGTCGCTGTGTTAGAGGGACAAGAGTTAAATGCGGTGCGTGAGCGGTGGGGTGCAGATGAGAGGCAGTGGCTGCGTAGCTCCTGACTGGTCAGGGTAGCACAGGCCAAGTGTTTAAATCACCTTGCAATTGCTTAAAAGCATAATTTTTTTGTTGTTGTTTTTGGGGTTTTTTTAATGTGTTGCTTGATGAAGCATCCTCTTTCACCTGCACCACATGCCTTATGTTGTCCCAGGACAAAGCGAGCTCACCCCAGGCAGCTCAGCTCTGCTCTGGGCAGACAGGAGCCCAGGGTGGGCACGGGCTGGGGAGTCACGGTGCTGCTGTAAGAGCTTCAGTGCGGCGACGCGCAGCTGCAGAGACACGGAGGAGCGGTGAGGGCTGGCTGGTTTTGGCAGGGCAGCCCTGGCAGCACTGTCTGCGTGACACAGGTCCTTGGGGTGGGAGCGGCTATACGGTCCGGACCTTGTCCTGGGCACATCACCGCGGCCATGCTGGTGGCTGACCTGGTCCAGGCCACCTCCCAGCAGCTGTGCCCACATGCCCAGTCATTTGCATCACAAATTCAAATCTTTTTCATAGGAAACCATCACACTGAGGCTGTCAGGGTGAGCTTTGCCTTGTGTGGGCTGGAGCATGTGCAGCCCCTCTGCTGTCATGGGGAAGCATCACCATACATACCAGTGCTGGGGTCCTGATCATCGCCCAGACGAGCCCAGCCGCAGCCTGGCATCGCCTCCCTTCCCACGCCGCAGCAGCGAGCCAAGAGACAGCCCCGTACTGCAAGCTGCCTGCGGAGCTTCGTGGCTGGTGCCAGACCCTCCCCACCTGCCCGCTGCAGGAAGGGGATGGCTCAGGTGAGATTTCTGCCCTTGTCAGGCACTACCTCGCCCCGGGGTGTCCCCTGTCATGGGGGCAAAGCCGAGGGCTCTGCTGCCAGCAGCTGCCCAAACCTGCTTGTGGTAAGGGGCAAGGGGGTACCGAGCCCACATCTCTGCAGTGCTCACCCTCGCTGCCCTGCATTATCTGGCTGAGACATTGGGGGAGCCCCGTGGGCTCCCATCAGGGTCCGGGGCTTTGCAGTGGTACCCACAGCCGGTGGCCGTCCCCGGGAGGGAGGGCTGGGGGCACTGGCAGGGACTGGGGGGAGGGG